GCGGTGCGGCCCTAGCTGGCAGGTCCATTTGGCCGAGCCGAAAACGACGTCGGCCTGCAGGTCCCCGAGCCGCCCAGACCCCGCCAGCTGCCCACCTGGAAACGGAAAACCGCCTCCCAAGATGAAAGGCAGCCCATATGCCCAAAGGACCTCCCCGATGCGATTCAAGAGTCCCAGATTGAGGCCCCTACAAACGACCCCGGCGCGGAGGTGCACAGAGCCCGCAACGGCGCTTCCAGATAAGAAGCCACCCCGGAGTGCCAGCTCGGAGCGGTTGGGGAGGGGGGGCCGCTGGATCCCCCGCGGCAAGTCGTCGAGCCCCTTGGGGCCCCAGAGCTTCGAGGTAGCGAGACCCCCCCCTCCAGACGCGCCAGCTACGGATCGCCCCGACGGCGCCGCAGGAGAGAGCAGCGAAGCGCGGCCAGCCCTCGCCGGCGCCAGCTGCACACCACCAAGCCGAACCTCTGCCTGGTGGTGTTCCTGAGAGCAAATAAATTAAATGACAGACTCAACAACATCCGCGAGATCGAAAAACGGCCCGCGCGCATACCTGGAGCCCGACGTGCACGCAAACGCCCATGACGTGAAGTTGGACGCGCAAATATTCCAAACATCTGGCTGCGGGGTCTGATTCTCCTTATCAAGAGAGAGCTAACTGATTGGGCCGAGAAGCTGGCCTAGAAGCCAGCGGCGACGGAGATGCCGCCAGCGATGAGATGCCTACAGACGACGAGAGAGCCGAGCCGCAGCAGGTCGTAGACATTGACGCGGAACCCGTAGTCCACGAAGTCATGCCGCGGGGTGCCAGGCCTGGACCGCAGGAGAGGACTTGCCTGGGGCAGCCCCGGCGCAGCCCACCCCTTGCGCCGTCTGACCAGACCTGGGCCCCCCGACCGCGACTCCGCCCGCAGAGAGCTTGGCGAGCTCCGCGACCGCGCCAACGCCGACGCCGACCTCCGCGGTCGAGACAGCAGCGTCGTCGCAGCAGCACTCGCCCTCGGCCGCATTGGCGCCGTCGCCGAGGCTGGCCCTGAAGATGTCCTCCGCGGCCTGTCGAACTTCCATGAGCTGGTCAATCGCCTGTCGCCAACCCCCCTGGTCGCCATCGCCAGAACGCGTCGCCCGGTGATCCGCGACGCGAGCCGTAGCCGTGCGCGGGCGCCGCCAAGCCACGTCGCAGATGTGCTGAGCCTGCGGCCAGTCCAACCCGTGGACCTGCATGGCGTACGCGATGCAGACCCAGCGCCAGTGTCTGGCGCCGTCGTCAACATGAGTCAGGGCCGTCAACCATGAGCCCACCACGCGCGACATGGTGTCCTCCAGCCTACGATGGGCAGATCGAGGACCTGGGTCGGTCGGGGAGCAGCGACCAGCGAGCGGCGCGGCATCCCGCGGCGCCACGCAGCCAGCCCTTGGCGAAGTCGAAACAGGCACCGCTGCGGCCCCTGCGCCGACTGCAGCACCCTGGAGACCGAGTCCAGGTGCCGCGGCCAAGCTAGAGGCTCGAGCCCCCCAAAGGGCTGCCTCCCATCAACTCGCCGCGGCCATGAGTCGGGGGCCTGCCCCCTCTCGCCGCGTTCGCCAGCAGCGCGAAGGGGCGGCCATGCCGTCGCCAGCCACCGCGGCACACCGTGGGCGGACAGGTCCAGCTCGGCGCCCGCCATCGAGCCGCAGTGGCTAAGCTGAGGCGCGGCTGGGGTTTGTGAGCCAGCCCCGCCAGCCTCGCCATCAGCTGCGCCGCCCGAGCCAGGCGCGGGAACGGCCGTCCTGAACCTCTGGGTGACCGAAGATGGGTTCGAGAGGAAACCGAGAAAGAAGGGCCTTGGACAGCTTCGCGTGGCCGCCCGCGCCCTTGTCGATGAGCTGCTGGAGCTCAATCTTGCACTGGTCCGAAATACGCGAGTCGACATCCATCCTCCTCCTCCTCCTGAGGCGGGGCCGCCTCGCCAGCCGCGGCCCTCCGCGCAGCCCCATCTGCCCCCCCGCGAAGACGTGCAAGTTTAAAAAGGATCTGCTGCGCCTGACTGAACATCTCAGCCCCGGCCCTCCGAAACTCGGGCGGAAGATGGCCGAATGGGGCGCCGACCAGACCCGTGATGGCCGAGGGCATATCGCCCGACGCCGCAGGATGCAGGGCCGCATGACGGTGAAGCTCGCGCAACTCCGCCTCCTGTTCCTTGACAGGCTCGGCGAGGGCCTTCTGGGCCTCCATGCAATCGCCGAGCTCCTCCTGAAGGTCCGACAGCTTCTGCCTGATCGTCGTCTCGGCGGTCTGCGCACCCTGGAGCTGGTTCTGGAGTTGAGCCAGCTCGTCCTGATGTGAGCGAACGCGGCTCCACCGAGAGACAGCCGCCAGGTCCTTCTCACCCTTTGAAGCTGTGATCTGGAACTGCGCCCTGGCCGCCACCATAACGGGGGTGCTCCTGCACAAGGCCTGCCAAAACGAGCTGCTCAACAGCCGCCGAGAGATGCTCCCGCTTCGCAGCTCGAGCCAACTCACCATTTCCGTTGCCTTTGGGACGAGGTCCTTTGGCACCCTTGCCCAGCCCTGCTGTGCCAGACTGAGACTGAGTGCCACCCTTTGCTTCGGAAACCGTGCGGTCCGCAGCTGCGTCTCGATCGACACGGGCATTTCCTTTCGGACGACCAACCATGTCGACCTGCTGCCACGAATCCTTGGCCTGCTCCTCGCGAACCCATGGGCGCGGAGGTCCATGCACAGTGTTCCGGGGGAAAAAAAACAATATCACGAATACACCTCTTACAGCGAAAGCAGCGGCTCCACCCCACGAGAATTAACTGGTAGCCGCAAGACGATCTGCCATGACACGTCTTGTAGCCACTCTGAGAATGTGGGCGCGTTGCGGGGAGAGAAGGTCGATCGTTGGGCGGATCGGGAACCATGCCGCGCGCTCGGGATCTGAAAAACTGGTGGGGTCGCGAGCCCCTGGCAACTCACTCGTGGGCCCCGCGAAGACAAAACGCTTCAATTTCTCGTGCGAGGTTGGAAATTCAAGAGCAAGCCCCTTGAGCCAAAATGGCTACGGAGGGGGGAGGGTGTTCCTTGTGGGTGTTGGGTGTTGCGGTGGGTGTGGGGTGGTCCTGTGGTGTTCCAGGAGAGCTCGTGTGGTGCTGTCGGCGAGGCGTGGTGCTGTGGTGTTGTCGGCGTGGCGTGGCACTACGAGCAGCAACGTTCAAACCTCTTGGGCGACGGTTGGCAGAATGTGGCCGTGGATCATGAGCAGTGGGCAGGTCTTAAAGAGGGCCCCGGGATCCCCAGAGTGAAGACGAGGAGCAAGGCCATGAAAAAAGACTTGCGTGGCAGGCCGGGGCGCTGAACCAGACCAGCCGAGACGTCGAGCAGCGGGTCAGCCGGGCCGCAAGTGTTGCCGTTCTCTGAGCACGGAGGCTTGCTGTACAGTCATCGGCCTGACCTAATGAACGATAAATAAGGAACGATGAACCAATAATACATAACGCATAGGGAACGATAAATAACGCATGCAAGCCTAAGGAACGACCGAGCCCCTTTTGAAAAGCAAGTGTTCCTTATTCAAGCCGCTCACTGTAGCCGTGCGCGTGGTGAAGCAGCTCGAGCTCAAGTGCAAGAAGGACGCCTCCGAAGGACCCTGGCAACAGGCCGTCGCAACGGGTCTCCGGCAGCCGCGCGCCTCCGCGCAGATGGGCCCGCGGCGCAGCCGGGGAGTAAAAGCACGCCTCGCGCCGCGGTGCAGAGGGGCATGTGGGATGATCTTGTTTTCCAGTGCTCCTCTGGAGGGGGAAGGCGGGGCGAAGAGCGGGTCCGGGGTAACTCGGGTTTGGGTTCCCGAAAAACGAACCCGAGTTAACCCTGACCCGGATTACCCCTGATGATTCGGGGCTCTGGACGCCCGAAGTATCCGGGGTAACTCGGGTCCGGGACAACTCGGGTTCGGACTCCCGAAAACGAACCCGAGTTAGCCCTGACCCGAGTTACCCCTGATGACTCGGGGCTCTGATTGGTGGCGCGCCCGGTGGAGGGGAAATGAGACGAAGCGGGCCTAGGCTCGGAAGTCCCCTGGCCTTCGGAGAAGTCCCGCCGCCTTCTGAGAAGGCCTTCTCCTACTCATGTCCGACCCTATCGCTCGCCGCCGACCAACACGACAATGTTGGTCAGCATGGATGTCGTGAGAAGGACGAGCGAGTGCTGCTTCTGCCGCCGCCTGAACCTCATCCACCCGAGCCCACCCAATAAGAAAGCAAGAGAAGCGATTAAACTGGGCTGGGAAAATGCTGGGTTCTCAGAATCCCAACGATCTGGAGGACACATCCGCGCAACGGGCACCGCGCCACTTCCAGAACAACCTGGAACACCCTGAGAGCGTTCCGGCATGCTCTGGAACGAATTGTGATATTAGGCCTGCTTGGCTATGCCTGGCATACCTGGGGTGCTCCTCCTACTCCTCACCTTCTGCCGCGCCAGCGAGCGCCTGTCTTCTTCTTGGATGCCCTTTGTCCAATATGTTTTGTGCCCCTCCTCCCCCTCTGGTCCTCCTCCTCATCCTCCTGCATCTCCTCCTCCTCCTCCTCCTTCTCCTACTCGTCCCTCCCTCCCTCTCTCTCTTCCACCCTTCTCCTCCTAGAACGTAATTGCCCTACCCCCTCCAGCCTCCCTCCTCAGTCCTCCTTTCTTCCTCCTCCCTCATCCGCCTCCTCCTCCTCCTCAGCCTCATCCTCCTCCTTCTCCTCCTCCTATTCTTCATCGTCTCGCTCCCCCTCCCGCCTGCTGCTCATGCCCTCCAGCTCCTCCCGCCCGTCCCCGTCCAGCCCCTCCTTTGGGGAAACCAGTCGGTACCCATACCGCTACTCCTCAGACCTCTCGTGGGGTGCGCTCTGACCAGAATTTCGGGGCGAATCCAGCGGTGGCGATGAGGGCCACCCTGGAGACCCAAAAACGGGAAAACGAGGAAAGGGTAGAGGTATGGGTACCTTTTCCTCCTCTGACCCCCCCCCATTGGGGCCGAACGGGGTCAGCGCCAGCCCCAGCAGCAGCACCGGCCAGGGGACCAAGGCTGTCCTGAAGCCACTGCGCCTGGCGAGGGACCGGGGAGGTGGGGGGCCGAGAGGGGCAAGGAATGAGGAGAAGAGAGGAGGAGGAGAGAGGAGGAGGGGGGGGAGGAGGAGGAGGAGGAGGAGAGGAGGAGGAGGAGGAGGAGGAGGAGGAGGAGGAGGAGGAGGAGGAGGAGGGAGGGGGAGGAGGAGGGAGGAGGAGGAGGAGGAGGAGGAGGAGGAGGAGGAGGAGGAGGAGGAGAAGGAGGAGGAGGAGGAGGGGGGGGGGACCAGACCCAAGCGAGCAAGGCGCCACTGTCGCATCGCGTTGGGCGATCGGGGGACCCGAGCGGGCCCGCACCAAGGTCACTCTGGCAAAGGGATCTCTCATTTAGGCCGCGAGCGAGGGGGGGAAAGTGAGAGGGGGCAGGCCTTCTCAGAAGGCTCGGAAGCGCCTGGGCCTTCGGATAAGTTCTCTAAGCCTTCCCCGAAGACACAACGAAACTTCTAAGACGGCGCGATGGCTTCTGAGAAGTCCCGCCGCCTTCTGAGAAGGCCTTCTCCTTCTCGCTTCCCCCCTATCGCTCGCCGCCGACCAACACGACAATGTTGGTCAGCATGGGTGTCGTGAGAAGGACGAGCGAGTGCTGCTTCTGCCGCCGCCTGAACCTCATCCACCCGAGCCCACCCAATAAGAAAGCAAGAGAAGCGATTAAACTGGGCTGGGAAAATGCTGGGTTCTCAGAATCCCAACGATCTGGAGGACACATCCGCGCAACGGGCACCGCGCCACTTCCAGAACAACCTGGAACACCCTGAGAGCGTTCCGGCATGCTCTGGAACGAATTGTGATCTTAGGCCTGCTTGGCTATGCCTGGCATACCTGGGGTGCTCCTCCTACTCCCCACCTTCTGCCGCGCCTGCGAGCGCTGGTCTTCTTCTTGGATGTCCTTTGTCCAGTATGTGTTGTGCCCCTCCTCCCCCTCTGGTCCTCCTCCTCATCCTCCTCATTTCCTCCTCCTCCTCCTCCCCCTCCTCCTACTCGTCCCTCCCTCCGTTATGTCGCGTTCGGCGATCGGGGGACCCAAGTGGGCCCGCACCAAAGGTCATTCTGGCAAAAGGGTCATTCGTTCAGGCGGTGAGCGACGGGGGAAGTGAGAGGGGGCGGGCCTTCCCAGAAGGCTCGGAAGTCCCCTGGCCTTCTGAGAAGTTTCAGCCTTCCCCGAAGTCGCACCAGGTGCGCGAGGGCTTCTGAGAAGTCCCGCCGCCTCCTGAGAAGGCCTTCTCTAGAAGATGAAGAAGAAGAAGAAAAAGAAGAAGAAGAAGAACAGAAACCATAAACATCAATGTTTCGCGCGGCACGCAGATTTCTTGTATCTGCGCTGGACCCCCCTGCCTGGCAAGCGGAGCGCGTCAGGGGCGGCGCTGGAGGCGCCGCCGGGGGAGCCCAGCGCGGGTCCAAGAAATCCGCGCGGGGCGCCAACAGTTTACATGTTTATGGTGATTTGTTTCTTCGATTATCTTTCTCAATTAACCAGCCTCGAACTTATCCCTATCCCTAAGATGGGCGAGCAAAAGGCGAGGACAATCTTAGGGATAGGCCCCCAGAAACTGAGGGAACCCTTAAGATCGGCATCGAGGTGAGGTGATGTCAAACATAGGGATAAGGATATGTTTCAAACTGGTAATCACTCCCCCCCCCTCGCTCGCCGCCGATCTGCAAGTGTCGCCGACGAGCGACGGCGCGACGCCTCCGGCCCGTGCCCTGGGGCCGGCCGCTCCCCGCCACGGCCGAAAGGCGTGCCCGCGCTCTGCGGCGCCCCTGGGGCGCGCGGGCGCGCTGCCGGATGCCCCGCGGGGGGCGCCCCAAGGAGGCGTGCTCTCAGGAGCGGCAAAGAGGGGGGTGTCCAAGAGGGGGGGGTACAGATCAAAACCGGCGGCATGTGCGCGGCCCAGCGGGGGGGCCAGGAACGTGATGATATAAGAAGAGGCGCCATGACATCTGGGGAAATATCATGGCCCCTGCCATGATATCCACCCCCTCCTAGTCATCACCCCCCTCTTTGCCGCCCCCGATGCTCGCGCACTGCCGCCGCCCCCCCTCATTGCGGGAAAGGTCTGTGTCCACATCCACTGCAGCTTGAAGGTTCGAGCTCCCCTCCCCATCAGACCAGGGGCGCAGGGGATGGGGCTGAACAGCTGGCCCCGTGTGCAATGGGGGCCCGACCACCAGAAACCTTCCACAAGAAGCCCAACCCTGAGACCCCAGGACGCCCATTGATTCCTGGTGTGGGAACGTCACGATTTCCATAGCGAAGCCATCCAAACCCAAGAAACCCAGGGCACCCTGGAGGCTAGCATGGTGTTTCTTGGCATGGGTCTCCACTGTAGAGGCTGAGACTTTGCCCAGATCCACTACGCCTCGACCTTATGGCGCCCCTTCCCAGAAAGTCCAAGACGCAATGGATGTGGTTAGAACTCTTGTCCGCACTCCCTGCTCCATCGGGGGGGGGTGAGGAGGGCTCCGAGACCGCTGCTCCGCGCGCCTCTCCGGGGCTGCGCACTGGCCAGGATGTCGGGGCGAAGCCGGCCGCCGTGGCGAGGGGAGGGTCGGGTCATCTTGGAAGCCTCGACATGGTCACCAACACCACCACACGGGGGCTGCCTCCACTGGAAGAAGATTATCCTAGACTGTGGTATTGGTGGTATAACGTCGGCCACATAGAAGCCCGAATCTTGCCGCCATCACCGAGACTGTGTGCATCTTCCCTCGGTGGAGGCATACCGCCGATATTCGTGTTGGTGTAAAGATCTAGGCCTCCGATGAACGGTAGATCCTCCACCTCGGAACCAGTGCCCCCCCCCCTCCGGGCAGCGCTGGTGGTGGCCCCCCCCGCTTCCGAGCCGACAGGGCCGAGAGGGGGAGGAGGCCAGAGGGGAGAGGAGGCCAGAGAAGGAGGCCCTCGGAGCGCCGCCCACCCTGGACGACGACGCCGATGTTCTATCTCTCGCAGCGGATGGGTGCAGGAGGGGGAGGAGGAGGAGGAGGAGGAGGAGGAGGAGGAGGAGGAGGAGGAGGAGGAGGAAGGAGGAGGAGGAGGAGGAGGAGGAGGAGGAGGAGGAGGAAGGCGGATGAGGACGCCGACGACGACGGACGCCGAGACAGCCGATGGGGGAAAGATCTACGCGCGCTGGGGGGCAGTGCCTCCGTGCGCGCTTCCGCGTGCGCACTGCCTGGCGGCGGCCGGCCTGGCTCAGAGGCATCCCGCACAGGACGGCACGGCAGCCTGGTGCCCCAGACGGTTGCGCGATCAACGACCCCCAAGCGAAGAAACATGGCTACCCATGTTGGGCATACATTGACAACCCTTGGCGGCGCGCAGTGGGGGTCAGGGGGAGGGGGGGAAGCTTCTTAGAAGGAGGCTGCTTCTTAGAAGGCGGGGGCCTTACAGCTACAGACAAGGCCCTCCGCCTTCTAAGAAGCAGGGGTGCTTCCGAGAAGCTGTCCCCCCTCCCCCATACTCCCTTCTGCGCGCGGCCGGAACATTATGATGATGAGCCCCGTCTACATCGCAGAGCGAGGGGGGCTGGGAAGGGGCATGCCACTCTTTGTGGCCGCCGCGACCGCATCGGCGACCTCCCAAACCATCCTGGCGGTGTAGTTCGGGGTCGGGAATCACGCAACGGCCAGAGGCCCGACGCGTGGATATGTTCAGAACGGGGTCCCCTCAGACCCCCGACGCCATGATTTGTTCATAACGTCGACCCCCAGAGGTCTCGACCCATTCCCCAAAACCGGTTCTTCGTCCCGAGTCGTCTTTTGACAGTCCTGATGCCACGTAAGGGCCCCCCGAAGCCGAACATGGCAACAACAACGGAAAAACCTCCCGTCATGATTTTTCGTTACTGGAGAGGTTCTGGACCTGGAAGTCCCGACCACTTCCTCGGGGCCGGCTTTTCGTCCTGAGTTGTCCTCGGCAGGGCCCGGCGAGGGGAGATTCTGCACCGGCAGGCCTTCATCGCTCCGCCCGATATCTAGTAGGAGCTTGACCACAAACCACCAGAGAAACCTACCACAAGAAACCTCCTCCTCCTCCGCCCTTCTCCTCCTCCTTCTCCTCCTCTTCCTCCTCCTCCATATTTACACAATATGAAAATACTCTCCCACTTCCCCTGATGGCGTCCCGAAGATATCCGACCCCCCCCCGCGTACTGTTTTTTACACACAGGATTCCCGGGAAACGGGTTTTCGCCTGCGTTTGTTTTTTGTTTTTTCTCAAAATGCTGCTCTCGCTGAGGCGCCGGCCTCACTTCTGCTCCCGAATCGTTCCGAATGGTGTTCCCGCTGCAGCGTGGGCCTCATTTTCGGATCGGTGTTTGGCCTCCGTCGTTCAGGATGGCGTTCTCGCCCCAGCGCGGGCCTCTTTCTCGCGCGCCCATCCGCCCGCCACCACCCGCCGCCGCCACACCACCACCACCACCACCACACCACCACCCACCAGCACCAGCACCAGCACCAGCACCAGCACCAGCACCAGCACCAGCACCAGCACCAGCACCAGCACCACCACGCACACACGCACGCACGCACGCACGCGCACCACCACCCACTACGCACGCGCGCGCGGAGCCACAGGTCCGCTACGACACGCGTCCGCGGATAGAGAAAATCAGCGCCATGGTAAGGGATGGGAGGGAGGGGTAGGACGTCAGCTATGACGCGAGCGCACCTAGCTTGTCCTCCTCCTCCTCTTCCTCCTCCTCCTCCTCCTCCTCCTCTCCCTCTTCCTCCTGCAGGAAGGGCCACTTCAAGTGCACAGCAGGAGCTCGACCACAAGAGTCCTTCCACGAGAAGCCCAACCCTGAGACCCCAGGACGTCAGTTGTTGCTTTCTGGTGTGGGAGCGTCGCGCTGTCAATCGCAGGACCATCCAATGCACGAAGAACTCTGGGCACCTGGAGGCAACCAGGGT